AGAGAATGGCGACTTCGATGGAAGCACAGCGACGAATTCCAGACCAAAGGTTCCAAACATGTGGATCATGAAGCCCGCGGGGAGCAGCCGTGGGCGAGGCATTCAAGTCATCAACGACGTGGGCGCTGTCCACTATGGAGAGCTGACGATCATCCAGCAATACATCAGCGATCCTTATTTACTCGGCGGCTTCAAGTGGGACATGAGAGCCTTGGAACGTGTGAGATATGTTGAGTTTGCACATCCATGTTTCAGAAAAAGAACTTAACACATATGAAAACATCACAGAGCTATAATAATGACTAATATTCAGTATAGTTTTGGAAGCTGATGACTCATCAGATGACAATCACATCACTACACTACCAGCTGGTGAAGCTGGTGATTGTTCTCTTTCCAATTCCGACCCATGGAACCCTGGAATTCAACCCCAAAATCGCTCAGCCAGACCAGTCCCCTGGATTGGAGCGGATGTCGTTGGTCCGGTTCGACGCCGGGCGGAGCAGAACCCGCCCCGTGGACGGCGGACGTCGCGACCGGGTTGGAGAGAAGACGAGTTCGTGGTCCCGGTCAGGAACCTATGTGACCGTGACCTCCTTCAATCCCGTGGAGGCCTTCATCTACAAAGATGGCTTCGCGCGATTCACCACAGTGCCATACAACACCAACGACGAAGAGACTCGGGTCCAACTGGTTGGAATCCTTGTGCTTCACCTTTTGGATCGCTTGGGACCTTCATGGGGAGAAATAGGGAAAGAGGTCATGAACTGAAGAACCACATGGTTTCAGCGAGTGTTTCAGTGTGTCTCCCATATTTTCGATATCTTCAGAAGGAAAGAAGTCCAAACCAAGTCGGCAGCAATGTGAGGATATTGACAACAAGTTCGTGCACTTGACGAACTCGTCGATCCAAAGGCACGAAGTGGGCAGAAGCCCTGAGAAGTCTTCACGGAAAGATCTCAAATCTCTCGCTATATATCACACATCACATGCATCTATATCGAAGATTTGACCAATCCTAATCAATAAGACGTTGAGAAGGGTTTTGTCCCTATGTCTCTTGCATGTTTGAACGGACTGACGGTCCGGGGGGCCTGGCCTTGAGTTGACTGATTCGCTTGCGCACCACTCGAGCCGCACAGGCACAACGAGGATAACTTCATGCAAGATGAAACAAGTGACCTGCTTCGAAGAGAAGACACCCTGGTGGGCGGCACAAAGATTTCCTTTACCATGCTTCAAGAGCGGCTGAAAATGATTGGCATCGAGTGGTCAGTTGTGTGGGCCAAGATGGTGGATGTGATTCTGAAGTCCTTGTGTATGGCAGAGGATCCTGAGCTGGAGTGGTGAGAATGGTGAGAACTAGACACCACAAACGTGATGGTTGGTGTTGCATCTTTGCGGGTAGACTCTTCAGGGCATAGCCTACTGTGGTATGGGGTCTTGACCCACAGACAACTTGTGAATGGTTTACCGGTATAGAATAGAATCGGCCCATTCTCAGGACCAGATTCCCTTTCAAACCAATGCCTTCGAGCTTTTTGGCTACGATCTCATGATGGATTCGAAGATGAAGATGTGGCTGATTGAAGTGAATTCCTCGCCCTCCATGGGGCAAGAGCACCTCTTGGACGAGCATGTGACACCTGGCAGGGAAGACGAGAGATTGTTTCGGGGAAGCCGCATAGTATTAGGGACTCCAGTTGCGTGGTCATCCAGAAACAATGTATGGCAGGGAAGCCAAGGTACTGGTAGGATGAGGTATGGTTTGCCAAATCATTAGAATGTGAAGACCGGTCCCAATCCAGCATGAGATGCTTGCTGCTTGCCTTCCACAGAGGCTGCACCGCCAGTCATGCATGCATGTGTCTACAATTAGAGCAATCAGTGGTGATGCTTCCACACGCCAGCCGCTCCCCGCGGAGCCAAGATCTGTCGACCCATCAGCCCATCCCCTGTCGTGTCGGGCTCGGAAATCCCATCCGGTGCGAGCCTCGTCGTTTCTCGCCATCCGGGCTGGGCGTCAATAGCTCCCGCGCTTAGCGCCGGCGTGTTGGCGGTTAAATCCTGTGAGTCACTTTCTTTTGTTGTCCATGTGATTGCATGTGCATATTCTAAAGCATGCAAGTATACATTTGTTATCATTTGTGTTTGTAAACATCAAGGATCTCCCACCCCTCCGGCTGGCTTTTCTAATACTTCTACACCACACATGTCACATATCTTGTATCTATGTCTTCCTTCCTATTATTATATTGTACGTGACACCATCGATGTTCTTTCGACCTCGACCAGGAAGCAGCCCTTGATCAACGACACCATCGATCTCGTGGAGCCAATGGCCTTCGATCGCAAGGCCCTGTCCGAAGCCTTGCAACGCCGCGCGCGCAAGGCCGGCGCCGGCTCCGGTGGGCGACAACAGTTCCTTGGCGACGTCCAGTTCCGAACGGGTGGGGGGCCATCCAGACGAAAATCTCTTGGTTCCGCAGGACTTGGAAGTGGACTTCTTGCGTTCGGACTCCGCTACTTGCGGCTAGGACCTAGGACACTGTTGTGCCGTAGAAGGCTTGGAAGACTTCCAAGTTGTTTGTTGCCAACATGTGCCAACGGCGGTTTCAAACCGAGGGCCTGGCAGACCCAGCGAAGTGATGTGAGCTGTTTTTTGTTGCCTTGTCTATTGATATTTGCAATGTCCAAATGCTTGATGTCCACAGATGCTTGAGATGTTGTGAGGGCCAATGTAGGGAAACGTTCCAGTTTCATGGATTCTTGTGATAATAGTCAGTCATTTGGTCAGCACTCCTGGCCACATCCCCGGCAGAGTCGGCAGAGCCAGAAATCCTGAACTCTTCGGTCGAAACGGTTGCCTGCTACGAATGACTGCTCAATTACCTCACACGGGACTCCGTTCTACACCTTGGAAGAGTAACATGGAACTTGAAAACCACGGGGTTCTATATAAAGGAAATCCGTTTGCCAAGGTCAATTTTCAGATCCCATGTTGAGTTCTTGGGTCCATCTCGTGCGCATCTCCGCGGAACCTCTGTAAGTGGGCCTTGGGTGGGGATGTGAGACAGCTTGGCCTGAGGTTAGATGTGGATCTTCACGCAATCTTGACTCTTGGGCGTTTTAAAACACGTGCGGTGCCCCATGCACCCTGTTGCAGAAGAAAAGAGACGGATCCCAAAAAATCCACCGGGGTCTTCACAGGCGAATAGCCTTCGTGTACATGTTCATTCAGCACGGCTCGCCGGTCTCGCGAGTCCTGCCGCCCATTCCGTGGCTTTCCGTGGCATGTTCACGGTCCATGACCCAGACACTCCATGTGTGCCATAATATGCCGACCAGTTGGGATGGTTTGGAGGGCCAATGGGGCGGCAGATGTTCCAGTCCCATGGATTGTTTGGGCGTGAGCCAGGTTGCCAGGCACTGCCAAGTGTATGACACCCCTCATGTTGATTGCTTCCCTCAAGGCAGACGGAGGGCCCGCTCTCAATGCACTGAGGAAAGGCCGCCCCATGCGGAAGTATGGCGAGATGCCGGAGAGGGCGCTGAAATCATGGAACTGGTCGTTATATTTGGCTCCGATGCCAGGGCTCCGATATGTCATCCCCGGTGAATGAGTGTCTATAAAATGGGGAGGGTTGACAACCCATTTTATAGAGGATAATTTTCTATAGAATGCCTGGCAACCCCCCTGCCATTGTTCACCGGATATGTAATTCTAGTCCAAAATCCGAAGCTTGAAGAACTTGTTCAGGCTACACTGCACAAGCTTTCACAGAGGAAAACTGCTCAAGAACATTGTGGGTCATTTTTGCCCTTTATACATTTTAAAGTACGTCTTCATTATATATACCACTCGTTATTTTTTTATGTCTATGTTTGACAATCAAGCGCATCACAGGAGAAGATGGGGAACTACGAGCGCATCGCGCCGGGCGACGCCTGGGACCATTTGGTGAAGTCCAGAAGTTTGCTCTTCAATCGCGTCTCCTAAGGCCGACGGTCTCGGGCGCCTTCTTTTTCGTTGCACTGAGAGAGGTGAGAGAGGGAGTGGAAGGCGAGAAGACATCAAGTTGGGTGGAACCTTACGAAACCAGCGCAGGAGAACAGAGTTGGTGAAGATTGTTGGGATTTTTCATGAGTTCTCAGATTTGCAGCTTGCTGCAGGTGGATCATGGTGGATCTCCACGAGGCCAACAACCTGCGGCCTAACCCTAACCGCACACCAGTTGCGGCCCAGTTGTGGTCTCACCAGTACCGATCCAAAGTGGTCTCGATTGTCACCATGTGTCACCCAAAAGGGGGGCTCCTGCTCCGTCCACCGCCGGAGCGAAGCGGGTGGTTTTGGTCTCCGGACACGGCCGGACGGGGCATTCGAACTCGGCTGTGGGATTTGGGTGGAGGACTGAAGCAAATAAGACTCGGTCTGCCTAGAAACTTCCGGTCTGCATGGCCGCTTGCAGTAGAAACAGTATGAAATAACCTGAAATAAGGCATGGCAAAAGATTAGAGTCGCTGGGACTGGTGGTGGAATGTCCTTGAACCACTGACACAGGAATCCTATATAATTGGATTCGTACTTATTCGCATGGAGTGCTTGGGATATGGGTCATGTATGACATGGTTTAAATCATGCCGTACATATTCCCCACACGTTTTCGGTGTCCTGGACGTATCTAAGACATGTGGATTCTCTGAGCCGGTCATCATTTCAGAGCTTTCGCAGATGCTGTTCAGAGCTTTCGCGCCCTTTCGGGCCATCTTCTCTTCCCTCAAGCCTGAGGGGGTCCAGGGGGTCGCCCCCAGGATGCAGGTCACCATGAAGTTCTCGTCAATGGATGTTGGGATCTATCCTGGAGGTTGTTACCAGAAAGCCAGGGGCCTTTCTTTGGCGCAAAAGCAAAAAGACAAGGATCCTTTCGGCAGTATGTGCCTGGGTTTTGCCTAACGTACTTGGCCTTTGCACGTTTGTCTAAGACAGCGCCTCTTCTTAGGCCCTTTGCCTGCTTTGGAGGGCCCTTTTGAGCCGCTGTCTTTTGTCTTGCTCCTTGTGATGTGCTTCGACCACTTGGAGGTGGAGACTTCGGGGGCGTCGAGATTTGGAGGTCGAAACCATGACCAACCCACCACCGTAAGGACGACAACTCCCTTGGGACTGGCGATCCGCGGAGCACCCAAAGAGAACTGCCAACATTTGACATGTCGGGGGAGCTGCAAAGAGGAAATAGGACATTCATGGACATTCCTTCTGCCAGAAACTGGTTTCTGGGATGGTTTCATTCCGAACTTGTGCGAAGTACGACCGCACTACGATTGAACTGCGGCTGCCAGCAGTTTCAAAGAGACTTCAGACCACATGAGCCCCGACACGGCCCGGCTCAGCAGCCCGCAGCCCTAGGTCCTCTCATGCAGGTTCCTAGAGGTCATGGGAAGTGTCAATGATAATGATCAGCTCCTACTAACCCCCCCTCAGCGCCTGTAGTAAAGTACAAGATGGGTACAAGTGGCCGTGGGAGGAAACAACTCCAGACGAGCTTGACCAATCCATCACAAGGGAACTGAAGGGAAACTGAACGGTTGCAGGTCGTTGAGGGGACGCATTTGCGGCTGATGCGGATGCTCTTCCGCGCATTGCCCAACGGCTCCCGCACATTGGCACCAAAGCATGTGGACTTTATCGAGTAACTTGGCAACTATATATACCCGAAACGAATGTGACTCACTGACGAGAAGAGACCCTCACCATCTCAAGAACAGTGGGTTCCGGCCGCAGGCCGGAATGCAGTGGATCACCAAACGCTGGCCATTCATTTGGCAAGAAAAACAGGATCATTTGTTCTGAGTATCCGGTTTGTAGGTCCAGACGATCCATCCAGCCTTGTTTGCCCCGTTCGTAGCTTTATTGATCCTAGTAGTAAGGCCAGGAGCCCCGTTCGTAGTGCCCTTGCTCCTAGTAGGAATTGCCAGGAGCCCCTAGTAGGGAACATTGTTCCTAGTGCGCAAGGTAGAGATATAAAACGATATGAAGATGTGATGTACCATGATTTATTTGTTGGCCCCTGCGACGGCCTATCGACTTGCCGCTGGCCTTTTAGGCGCGAAGCCTATCGACTGGCGCCAGCGGTGTTAACGGAGCTGATTTCAATGTGCGAGGTCAAAGTCGAGGTCGATGTGTCGATCGGCTCACGGCCCTTCAGCACGGAGGATGGGCGCAGTAGATTGGCAGAAATTGTGCCTAGGCATCAGTCGTGGGAGTCTTGGCTGTCGAGAAGTTGGTCCCACAGGCTTAGCCTGTCAACGAGAAGATTGAACAATATGGTGGAGATTCAGTAGTTTCAGGATGTTCGAGGTGACACAAATCTGCTTGGATGGTTTCCTCCGCAGCACCATGCGCCACATTGTTGGCCTACCTTGATTTTGGTGTTGCCCAAGTGGATTCTAATTGGATCCAGTGGTTGCCCATCCAACAGCATCCAACAGCTCCAAATCTTGAAACAGCCGGCACCCCAAACTGCAGCAGGTGATTTGATTGATGCTTGAAGTCCTCTCAGGGTGGCTTCAATACCAAGCACCAAAACCATGCAAGCGGATTCAATCGGTTTATATATGTCGTGTATACCCCTGAGATTTGAAAATTGTAGTGGATGTGGTGGAACTTTGGTCGGCTCTTGGTAGAACTGGAGGACATTTGGGTGAGTTCAACAAACCCCACCAGGTGGTGAATTCCCGCATGTCCCCACTGAATTGTTGCACCGCACGATCCAATGGATGTACGGAGGTCATGTTCCCGTTGTGTTCGACCTGGTCCACCGCATCCACGCCCGCTCTCTGTACTAGCTGCAGGGGTGCGGTTTCTCAGTCCTATTCTCCAGTTCCAATTCAGGTAGAGAATCACTACTTGAAGCGCGTGCCCGGTGAAGAGCCCACGAAGCTGAGTCACACGCTGCGCTTCGTCCGAACGCACCACCTGGCGGATCGCCTGGAGGAAGAGGCGGGCCATGGGACGGTGAAAAGCACCGAGGACGGTTAAGACCCAGCAGCTTCGTTTGGTGCGAAGACCGGATCAACCGGTGAAAGCAGCTGAGAGGTCGAAGCAAAGTCTTCGTCCCCGTGAAGGCCTGGCTCAAGTCCCTTAAGTGGTGGTTAGTGGTTGCTTCTATTTAAAAAATCCTACCCGAATCGCCGAAGACACGAGAAAGATTCTGCCACCTGCAAGTCTTTGCATTGCCAAAACCCACGGCCGCCGTCACCGTCACGGGCGAGACCGTTTCACGGCGGTCGTCTTCCTGCGATATCGCGAGTCGACGTTCCGAGGGTTTCAGACGTTCAGACTTCCCGAGTTGCCCAACAAAACACATATTTCTGAATCAGAAGAGTATATAGGTATATTATATTTCCAGGCGCTGTTCACTGGTCCAAGCATGGGATCAATATGCCAACACCATGTTTACTGGTCCAAATGTGAGGGGTTCGGGGACACCTTTGTCATCCTTTGTCCATTGACATGTGGTTTGTGCATGGAAATCTCTTGAATTCTGTGGACTTCACCTGTGCGAGGTGCTCTTCTTGCCGGTGATTGGTGCTCTCAATGATGGTCAGCCGCAGCATGCCTACAACCTGGGTGAAGGTGATCATTTACTGCAATTGCGCATGGTCTCCTTTGCTATCCGCAAAGGCTTTCGCTTGGTCGCAGGGCGTTTGGTCGATCGCTTTGGTTCGAAGGTGCTTTCGGCATTGGATGCAGAGGTGCCTGGCTGGAGTTGTGAATTTGGATGCTTCCAGGAAGAGTGTGAGGCATGTGTTCAAGAAGCCGAAGAGGCTGAAGAGAAGGAGATCCGAGCTGTGAGTGATCGGAAGATCGCAGCTGTGGAGGAGGATGCCAACTCCTTACAACTTCCACCAGAAGTCGCTGAGCAGATTTTCTTCGTCTCCAATAAAAGTGAGCTACAAGAAGTGGAAGACCGTTGCTTGGCAAAGTGATGTGTTTCAACCATGATCATCCATGATCCAGTTTTCAAGCATCTAGATCACTCCGACTCATTACAACCCGTCGTAGGGATGACTCGGTGTGATTGGCTGCATGTTGTCCTCTCAGGAATCGATCGATATCATATAATTTGCATGATGCACATAGAGTATAGAGAGAGGGAGAGAGGGGATCCAAACGCAGCACGTCGTCATGAGTGCAAGGATGCTGTTCAACAAATTTCGGGAGTAGAACTCACCCACAGTTTCGTGCACAGGTGTGATGATTAAGTTGATGTTCTCTCAATTCTCTCATAGAATTGCATGATGTTTCGATCAAATTCCGCAATTCTATGTAGATTTGATTCATGTGATGATTAAGTTGATGTTCTCCCAGGTCCTTTGAGGTCAGGTTCCTGGGGCCATCCTGGGGCAATGCAGGAGTTTCAGGTTCAGCTTATTTCAATTTCAATAGATTTAGGTTTAGATTCTTTCCTGACAAGGCAGGCAAGGTGAGTAACACCTTGCAACTGTCCTTTTATCACTGACTCCAGGTTGTTTGCAAATTATTCAGTGTGCACATGCTTCTACAGCTAAACTTCCTTTTGGTTTCTTGGTTGGATTGGTTCACCTGTCCTGCACTTTGTTGTTTTGCCATTGACTTTTACCCCAGAACAGGTAGGAAAGTAAATCCATGTAAATCCCATCAACGTTTGTCGCACAGTATGCCCGCCTTGGGTGGCATATGTTGTAAGCTTCCTCGTGTTTGCTCCTTCTCTTCCCTGCCGATAGCAGGCGACGTGCATTTTTGCACCTTCCTCCCTTTTGCACTTTTGCAGCCCGTATTTTGGTGCGACCTGCATTAACCTTAGGTTAGGGCAGCTATTCCGTCGGAGTGTCCCTGTGAGACAGCTGTAAGGCAGCTAGACCCTGTAGAGAGAGAGAGAGTGGAAGAGAGACATTTGCTGCCATCTGGACTTGAATTGGACACCGTTTCCCATTCATTTCGGGAGCACTCTAGAAAAGGTGACAAGATCATTTTTACGGGAGTGTGGGAGGTTTCGACGGACCCTCCACGTCTTCGTCCCCCCAAAAACCCACCGGATCGGTCCTCCCTTTGGTCGCATGTATTTTGATGTATTTATTATGGAGGGTTGATAATTTTCATGATGCTGAGGTTTATCAGAGATGCTTCGTTTGAACAGCGAGGGTGATGCTTTCACCCTACTTGCTCAACCAGGGCATGCCGTAGGCAGGGTGACCACTGCTTGACCACTGCTTGGAGTCCAAAGGCCCCATGTGTGATGGCAACGCATCTGTATTGAACACCCATGGATCCCGGGGCCCGTTGGGCACCCCTTCAGTTGCGTTCGCGTTGCGTCGCGTTGCTTCGCCTGCTCAGTTCCGCCTGCCAGATCGTTCTCGGTCGTGAAACGACCAGGATTAGACGTGGAGTGGCGGCCCTTCCTGGAGAAGCGAAGTGGGATGCAAAAGCATCGACGAAGTACTGCCTCCATGGAGCCCTGTTCCACCCTGCAGTTGGCAGCGGATCGCTATGCCGCTTGGGGTGAGGAAACGGAACGAACTGGAGGAACGGACGTAGACGGTGAGGATGGGGATGATGTGATTCGTTCCATCATGCCTAGAGGTACATATTACTAGTAGCTTCTTGCTACTAGTAGTAAGGCCAGGAGCTACGTTCGTAGCGTCCTTGCTCCGGTCGTAGCGATGCCTTTTGTTACTAGTAACTTACTAGTAGCTTAGTGTTACTATCTAGTGTCTTATGTAAGTTGGGATTTGTGTCGAAAGGGAGACGCTTCGTGAGTCATGTTTTGCTACTGTAGTCCTTTGGGTATGTCGGTGCGTTTCAGCAAAGTCGAAGTAACCCTGTCTGTGTCCGCACAGGGTATGTGTGCCCCCAAAGGTTGTGTGTACTCAATCAACCCAGCTTCTTTGTTCAGGCGACCATGTTTTGTTCAGTGCTGCGCCGTTGGGATTTTGCAGAATGCTAGATGGTGTACTTGTCCGTGCTTAACTTCACGATGTTGCTTTGCAGCTTTTGCTATCCTTCTTAAACATGCGTCATGTACTTTCCCCGGTCTGCATTAAGCACTGACTGTCCCTGGTCATGAATTTGCCCTTTTTTGGATCTATGCGGATCTGCGCTCAGATGCATTCACTTGAGATTTGACTTGCCTTCGCACAACTAGAAGAGTCTTGCACGTTTGTAGTTTATGCAATAGTACTTTTCTTTACCCTCGCACTCGCCTCCCATCAAGGTGATTGTTTTCGATCTTTTGTCACTGGCGCCAGCTGGCACTCCGTGCGCCAAGCAGTTGTCCAACCTGTTGACCAACGTCTTTAGCCATGCGGGGATCACTGGCTGAACTGGAGGATGGAACCGCCAGAGGGCCCTCCCTCAGAGGGCAAGCCCGTGATATGGACTGTTTCATTTTGGTGTCTCCAAGCCATGGGAGGTTGAGATTGGAGAAGGGATTAACGTAGATTATTGATGCCATGCAGCCCATTGATGCATGTTTTGGAGGATTCTGGACTCAAATGCATTTGGAAAGTCCGGGTCAGATCCGTTAAGGGAGCAATAGGTCCTTTGGAAAGATACATTAGAGGGTGGTCCAAAGCACGGTTGTTGATCAAAGGGCCTCATTGCCCACATTGTTGAGTTTCGGATTGTTACAGTTCTGCAAGTTCAGCTTCACATCTTGACATTCTTCAGTTTGTCCATGATCGTAACTATGGTGTTGCTATCTCGCTGAGCTCCATGAGGGTGATGCCTTTTCAATAGGGTGGCAGGTATAGTGCGAGGTGTTGTGTATAGTTTATTTTGTTAATTGTTCTGTTCAAGGGTTCGAGCTATGCTGGTATCTGGAATGCTTTGATCGTTTCGTTGTCCTTCCTTCCCTCCCTCCCTTTCCCTCGCTGCTTCCTTGCTTCCCTGCTTATTCTTCTTTATGACTTTGCTTCTGTGTGGCTTGCTTGCTGGCTTGCGTGGAGTTGGGTTGCTTGCAGTGACTTTGTTTTTAGTTGGTTGCTTCTTGGCCTTTTTTAGAAGGTCGAGGGCACTCCCCCGCAAAGGCAAGCTTATCAAGAACTGATCCAGCAACCTTAGCAAACCATCGGTTCTTCTTCCTTCCTTGCTTCCTTCTTTGATTCCAGCTAAATGGAGAAAGAACAAAAGCAAGAGCATCTCTGCAAGAAAACAATGAACAACCACCTCAACGCTGCCTTTCAATAGTGTAGCTGCCCAGACTAGACCACAAGACCTGAGGTCAAGAAGAGCGTCATGCAGCCCAAACAATCCACGGTTTAATTCACCTATTCACCTGTAGGGGAACGGGCTTCCCAAAGGCTCGGTTTGACAATCTGAGCACTGAGGATTCTGAAGCTCGGATTCGGGCTGCCGCAACCTAGCTTCAAGCCTGTGGCTCAAAGAAGAAGCCCAAAAGCGTTTGGCCGAGCTAGTCTGATTCTTTGTGGTGGGCTGAGAGGAAAATCTCCTCACCGCTTTTGATCAAATAAGGGCCCCGTTCCCGAGAATTGGCCGAGTATAGGGGAGGATTCTAGACCGTCTAGACAGGATTCCAGGTCTTTTTATGTCTTTTGTTTGCACTCATGGTTGCAGTAGATTGGTGTAGGGGCTTTGCAGATTTTATGCATTTTTACATGTTAAAAATGTAGGAGAATTCGCACAACACTTCCCTTTTTCAACGTGTAATTGACATCTATCCTGGGGAGAAGCTTCTGTCCCACGCTGTCTTGCAATCAATGAACCCCGCCTTGGCTTCCCAAGAATCTCAACCAAGAACTTCACAGAAGTAAGGCCTTGGCACCCTGCTGGGATGTGTCATGTCTTAGCTCAAGTTAGACCTTTGGAATTCCCATGATTTCCCCTTGATTCAATATGGGTCTGATGAATGCGCAACCCTATATTGTTGGATACCCCATCTTGGTCCAGGTTTATTGGGGGAAGGGGTTTGACCCTTCTCCGAGCCCCTACCACGTTCTCCCCCAGGCATGATCTTCAACGCTTGGCTGCGTCCTACCCGCACTTGGAGTGCTTCAGATGTCTTAAGGGCGCTGTCGATGTTCAAGAGGCCTTCATGACACTACGACGCGAGAAAGGACAAGCCACAGGTGGCCGAGCGATGAGTTTCAAGATGTGTCGTTCGGTGTCTTTTTTCCTGGCTGAAGCACCAATCATTGTGACTTACGCTGAGTAGTTGAACTGGATGCATGTGGCAAATAAACGCTTCATTTTTAGGGAGCCCCTGTAATATAGGCCCAAGTGTAAAAGACCAGCTTAAACTCTCTGAAAAAACATCATTTAGAAGTACCACATAGTACTGAGATGAACCACTGAAAGACCCCGACTGAGCCACAAAACTTCAGAATCCCTCACTTCGCATAGTGTCCACCAGGCCTGTCAGCCCTGTGCTTGGAGCACTTTGGATCTCCATTGAGCAAACGCCTGTGCCTGGGATAGCCTGGAGGGTGGGAGCACTTGGAGACACCACAGGGCACGTATCAATCGCCAATATACTATACATCAATATACAGTTCAGATATCATATATATATGTATTTGCATGTAATTACTTATATTATCTCTCACTCTATATGTGTATATATATATACACACAATATTCGATATGCTCATATATGTGCCCGTGCACCGGTGAGTTGATGGCACAAAGCCAAAGATCTGTGGTGACATGGACCATTTTGTGAGGCATTTTCTTCGGGTTTTCCACTGCTTCCTGACGTGCTGAAGCCAAAAAGAACAGGCAAACCAGTGATTGGGGAGCTCGACCTTTGTCAAGAGACCAATTGCTCTATGCTGCGCTGGATGCCTTTTGCTTGCTGGGCCTCGCCCGAAAGCTTCCGGCTGAAGTGCTTCAAGTGCAGAAACTACAGGTGGGTGTGGCGATGGTTGATGTGGGCAACAAAACAAGAGAACACGATCATGGAAAGTATTGATGGCAAGACCGCATACATCACCACATTTGACTGGTGGAACTGAGGGTACTTGCAACACTTTGTCAGTATTACAGAACGCTTTGGTACAACCTAGCATAGCTTGCTCATCGGGAAACAGAAAAGGCATTGCAAAATGCACCTAAGAGTCATGGAATTCAATTCGGATGAAAGCCAGGTTGGGTCAGTTGGAGGAAAGCTTCAAGTGACTCAAGTGACGAGCACGGCTGATGCGAAGGCAGATGGAGAGGTGGTTCGGCAAAATGATACCTTTGTTCCAAGCAAAAGACGCATCACCTCACACATGCAACTAAGTGCTGCGTAGTTTGATGTGAAGAAACGTATGATGCTAGTATTGCCAAGAGGCTGGGTGGCATCACAAGCACTGCCAAAGTTGTTTGAATGCATTCTAGCTAGTTGCGGTTGTTAGTTTCGGGGAAGGAGTTGCTTTTGTGGCACTTGGCACGCCGGGCGCCCGACTTGTTATATGATTTTGCAAAGCACTACGAAAACACACCAATCAAAGGAGTAGGCACTTGCCTAGGCACCAAGGGCAACTAGTTGTTTTAGAAAGCTGAGATCAGAGAACTTCCCCCTACAGTGTTAACATGAGGTAAAACCCCGGCAAGCAGTTTGGGCTAAGATGGAACAAACACAAATAACAACGACTGCTTAACTTCCTTGTGCATTTAATGACCTGAGCTCCCACCTCTGGAGATGAATCTTTGCAATGCCACCTTGCATGCCCTTCTTCTGAGGAGCTGGCTCAACTGGATGCAGACATTAGCTGCAAGGGTGCAGAGATCCGTAACATGAAGGCAGCAAAGGTGACTCGGGTTTCCAAGGCTGAACTGTTGTTTGCTATGTTGTTTCTTGGATTGCTGATGAGGTGCAATCTCTCCGGAAAATCGCATACACGGCTGTGGTGTGTCTGTACAGATCCCTGACATGCAAGACTCGAACTTTCCATCGGACAATCCTTTCGGCGTTAATAATTGTGGTGGAATTTGTTTAAAGAGCTCTGAGGTGGCCAAAGCAGAGTGGCAGGCCGAGGTGCAGGTCCTCTTGCAGCTCAAAGCCCAATACCGAGAATTGGACACTGGGCTATTAAATCACCTACTGGCCATGAAACGCGGGCCGGGGTGAGGTAGGAATGAACATGTCGGATGATCACATCCCTTGACATATGCTTTGGTTTGTTTCTGTAAGGCTTTGTCGCTTCATTTGGTGTTAAAGTTTACTTTGCGCGGAGATGCTTGCTTGCGGTGTGCTTGCGGTCATCACGAGCGAATACAGAAGGTTTGCATAGTTTCAACATCCGCCATGTCATTCCAACCCTTGGCTTGGCCCTTTGCTTCTCAGGCTGGCGTTGATTGGGTGCCGATCAAAGAACCTGTCCCCGCATGAACTTTGCTCCCCTGCACCATGCCGCCGCAGAACCACCAGTGGACGCCAAGGAGGTCTGCGAAGGTCTGTCCCCGGATGGTCCACACGGTCCAACACGGTCCGGTCTGCGAAGGTCTGCGAACGAAGCTCGCGCCGCCGGAGAAAAGTGGAGACCGGTGGAAGTGAACTTTGCTTGAGCCAGTCACATGATTGGGCCATTGGATGCAGAGCATGGCATGGTCAATGTATTCAATTCGATTGCATTAAGTTATCAACTATTTGGCGTGATTCGCTTCCCTGCTGCCAGATCTGATCGAAGCAGACATGTTTGCTGCTTCACTTCATTTTCTTGAATTGCGGAATGTTTCAATCTGGAAGCTTTTCATGCTGGAGCACTGAGAGTCATGATGTCATGCAGATGTGACGACAAAATTTGAAAAATAGAACCACCTGACAACAAACATGTTCAACGAATTGATTTCAATGTTTGCTCGTTCGTAACTAGTCGGAACTTTAAGAGATCAATCTTTGGCTCCGTTCGTCTCCAGACAGGTACGCTCCCAAGAAAATCACATCACATCCATACAAGCTGACAGAAGACCCTTGGTGGACAATCCTGAACCCCCTCCACATCCATTCACATCCCATATATCCTGTTTCATCCTGTTTCCCCAAGATTCCCCGAGCGACCATTGACCAGTGGATCCGCCCGCCATCCCATGTTTCACCCGACCATGGCCGCCCTACGACCCGCGGGTCACGGGTCAAGGGCCGTGCATCCTGCAAGACGACGGGTGTCTCCGTGGGTGGGACACTGCTCCTTTGGCCAGATTCGCTTAGGAATCCGGTGTTAGGATCGTTAGGAATTGTTGAATGGCAGATGGCAAGAATGAAGCCCTTTGCCTGTCCGACTGTGGGTATCAGGAGGTTCCCCTCATTTGAGACATGCTTTGGATAATTGGGCTTCAATTTGTCAGTGGTTGGAAGAGAGCAGCTGGGGTGAGGCCATCCTTCCTATGTTGCAGATGCAGCACTCATCGTGTCATTTCTTCGTCTACGTGCTTCCAAGAGGCCGTCAGCCAGTGCTGTGCGCCAGAAGCTGGCCAAGGGTGTTCTCCAACGTGCTGTTGATGTGCCAGACCCGGTGGCAGAGTTTCAGGCATTGCGAGAGGATCGGGATTTGGGCTCAGACTTGCACACAAGGATCGGCAAGCTTGCACTTCCATGTCGGGGTGCTCACTGGAGGAAGACGGGGTGCCCATGATCCACTCACTTGGGGATCTTAAAAAGACACATTAAGAATTAAGAACAACAATTCCTTTGGAACTGCTATCCTTCATGTGGATGGTTTTGCCACCAGCGCACAGTCGATGGCAGGATCCATTCGCCTCATGGAGTCTATTAGGCGACCAGGAGTTTCTCCAACGAATCTTGATGGTGCTCCTGGTGGCCTTTCTGCCATGTTTCTATTTGTCCATGAAGGCGGATCAAGTTGCCACAAAGAAAAAAGGGAGAGGATCGACCTGGAGGGCTTCCACAAATTGTTTTGTGCTTTTTTGGCGACGAAGTTCGAAGTTCGATTCTAATTAAATTGAATATAATAGAATTATAAGTTTAATTCTTGTTCCTAATAGCTTCAACTTGCTCCCAGTAGTAAGACCAGGAGCCCCTAGTAGTGTCCTTGCTCCGTTCGTAGCGACAGGAGCCCCGAACGTAGCTTCTGTGACGTCTCCTTTTTCGGTGCTATCCTCACTGAGCGCCCTTGGTCCGAGCCGATGTGCCTCAGGTGTATCCTCTTAGCAATGAACTCGGTGAATGGCTGCCGCAAAACCTCTTGGCCGCCTCAGCCTTTGGCTTGAGCTTTGCTGCGTTGATTCTCACTGCGGTGCTTCTACGCATTGGATCTCGCCAAGTGGAAGTAAACCAGCTGCTGCGGCAAGGTAGCATCCTACTTGAGACCAGAGGCGGTGGCTACTTTGTAAAGAAGAAGACTGCGATGAAGATGCGCAAAGATGCTAGGAGATTATCAGAATTGCTGTCACCTACTAAGTAGTTTGCGTGATTTTGTATATATGTGTGTGTGTTGCAAAGGGTTACTCATGCTTACTCTGACTTTCAATAATTCTTGCACCATACGCTCTCCCTATTGAAGGATAGCCTGATTCACCGCTATGAGACTGCTCCGCGCATCGTAAAACTGCGGCGCTATCTTCTGTCGACATTTCTTTTTGCTGTCGGAGCTGGAGCTGCTGGTGTTGCCTCCGGCGGGGACATGAAAATTGATAAGAATTAAATAGACGTTGCGTATACATCCAAAACCTTTATGTCTGATAATCTAGACGTGTCCGATATTGGGACAAATCAACAAATAGCTTAAAAAAGATATTAAATCATAATATTATTATAATACACTATATCCATATCGCATTAATACATATCTATTCCCGATAATGGAATATGGGATAATGATAAATTGTTGTCTTTAGTATATTGCATTGGGATATATATATAAAAATATAAACATATTTATTGATAATTTTTTGAAATACAAATATATTATTTAATAGAAATCGATATTGTTATTGTTTTAAACGAGGTTTCGGTAATGATTTCGATATTTTTTTTTTAAATTATATATAGATAAGTAATTCCGTAATTTTAAATTTTGATTTTACGGAAAAAAAAATCAATAATAATTTTATTTGATATTATAATCGAAGATATATTTGATATTTGGATTTTTATTTTGGATATTTAATTTAATAATTTAGGCATTTTTGTCGATATTAAATTTATAAATATTTATTTTTATATTTAAAAAATATTATTTAAAAATAATTTATTATTAATATATTTAATGCCGGTTTATTAACATATTTAATATTGGTAAAGATTATAAAGGCTATAATATTTATGATCGTGAATGTAGGAATATCCGCTTTTATGAACGTGGCATGTTTTATTAAATAATAATTATAATGGGATCGATTTTTCGGTTAGAATTTTTCTTTATTATATCGGTGATGATGAAAACCTCGTTCATTTTTGTTTTTATGAAAATATATTTTAGGATCGAATATTTTTTTTTAAATTATTTTCGAGGCTTGATTTAATTGTTAATATTTAGGATATTATTGAAGTCGAAGAATCGGCTGCCAAATCGGTTTTTTTAATATATATTTTATGCCATAATAGATTCTTGATATTAATCGGGATTGAAACGAAACATATTAGCCGGAAGATTTGCTTGTGCATATTGCTTGAGCAATTTCCGAATTCTAATGGATGCATCCCGGTGGTCTCGGGACTTGACGGAAGATTTGATTCACGAGGACAAAGACCCCATTCAATGATGATTTCTATATATTTATATCCCATTTTGGCTTGAGGTCCGTTTTCGATGATACAAAACCTTCATATTCCCGATATTCCGTAAGTCGGCCTTTAGGATGCACCGCAATTTTGATTTCGGGGAATTTGCGCACTGGTGCTTCTTGGATTTAGATCTCAGAGGAGTAGCAATTGATTAGAATCGAATATCTGATGTTCCATGACTCTGGTGGTTGCAACTTCATTACCTGCAAATAATATTTTTTGAATTGGAATATGTAATAATCCAAAATTGATTCCATTGGTGCACTGCATTGCGCATACAAGATGGAACGTATGAGTGCAGACGATTAATCTTTTGCAGATCTCATAGAGGTCTGTAGCTCGCATTTCAGCAAGCGGCCATAGACAGAGGAAGAGGACCGATTATTAGGCCACGTTCGGATTGGGTCGAAGATGGGAGCTTAATGACTAAACTCGCCAAATTGACCTAATGTTAGGAGAACTAATTTAACCAATTGAATTTGGATCGAACCTTTTTTTCTTTGTTTAAGCGGGCCGCGGTTCGATCTTATCCCAGATATTGAAGTTATTTAAAGATTGGCAAGGATAGTGCGAGTAGGGTACAATAACCAAATTATTGAGACAATTCATATTTTCAGCCGTGTTCGAAGAATTTGCGATTCGAATAGCCAAATTGCCCTTAATAAAACAAATTAATGATATATATATATATAAATATAATTAAATTCCATAGGATCATTTAAAAATCCCATATATTTGATTTATATATATTATAAAATCAAATTCTTGAAATTTATAAAAATTTATTAATATTAATATTAATAATAATATAAGACCCCCATATATATATTTTTTTAAAAAAATCATTATTAATATAATTTAATATTTATCATTGGATTCGACAATATTCATTATGAATTGAAAATATATAATTTAAAATATATATTTAAAAAATATATAATAATATATATTATAAATTCAAAATTAATCAATTATATAGAATAATTTTATATATTAATAAATCAATTCCGATAAAATTTATTACGATTTAATATAAATTATTATTTCTTTTTAATATTAATTTTTTTTTTGAATTTAATAATATATATTAAATTATAATATATTTAAATCAAATCAAATAATATCCATTACCATAAACAATATATAATCAAAAATTATCAATATTTATTAGAATCGAGAATTAATAAATATATAATTTAACATCTATATTTAAATTCGAAAATAAATATTATATTAATAAATATATATATTTATATCTAAAATATAATAAATAGGCAATTTTAAAAAATCTATTAATCATTTTTCCAATATTTATTTTATTTAATATATATTTTAATAAATAAATAAAATCAAATTATATATATATTAAATTCATATCTATTATAATTTATATAAAATTCTATTCTATTTATTTATAAATATTAATATTTCAATTTTATATTTAATTTCATTTCTTAATTATCTATATAAATATATTATTGTAATATTTATTTTCGTATATAAATATAAATTATATATACATCCAATTATTTAATATATCATTATTTTATATATTTATTTTTTAGAAAAAAAAACATCCTAATATATATTTTCAATATTATATATAATTAAATTCTTATAATATTATTATATTCATTCTAGATATATTAAAATATATATAATCTAAAATAAATTTAAGATATTTAATTCTATTTTAATTATCATCGATATAATAATTATAAAGAAAAATAATATAAATATATGGTTGATTTCCAAAATGACAATTCCATGGGGGCCCGCTTCCAAATCTCCTTTAAATTCCAAGCACATTCAAACCATGCCAATATTGCTGCTAAACATAAAAAAGAAACAAAAATTAATTCAAAAAATTTAAATATTACATAGACAAATAATCAAGAAATAGACCATCTTCTAACGCGTTGCTAGCGAAAGAATATTCGTCGATTTCTATATCCTATTAGATGCTTATTTGTCCTATTTTCTTCTTCTTCTTCTTCTTATTAGGTATTATTTTTCTTTTTTGTTTATTATTTTAATTTATTTATTCTTTTTCCTATTCTCTACTTATTAATTATCCTATTATAAAAACATAGATATCAATCTTTAATTCAAAATCAATACATATATTTATATATAAATTATCGATATTTAAGAAAAATTCATCGAATTACAATATATTTTAATCCTAAATCATTTATATCGACCTCTCATAATCAAAATAATCTATATTTATTATCATGGTGAATCGATATATTATTTGATGTCATTATTTCGTTTGTGTATTTCATGGAATGAAACATCGCATTTGGATCTAAGATTGTTTAGGTCAAAACCTCAAGCATCCCCAATAAGTAAATAATCTGACGAACCGGAGATGTAATATGAATCTATGCCGCACGCATTTGGGAAGCTCAATACTTACGAAGCTCTCAAATGCTGTTGATACAGGTCCGGTCCGCAATGTCGCTTTTGGTTTTGCAAACTACGTGTCAACACGGTGATCGTGATGAGTTAGTTGGCTCGGTGAGCCCCTTCATCGTGCTCGGTTTGGTCGGTTTTGACCCTTTTCGACCCAGTCAGGGCTCTTTCAGAGGGCTCCCGAGAGGGGATTGGTCATTGCCAAGCAAACGGTCGCAAAAAGGCCAGTCCAGCTTTGGAAAATACCATCCGATCGGAGTGTTCTGCGTAATTAGAGGTGATATGTAATGACCACCGTTATACATGAACAATGATGAACACATCAAATGAAGCATACATCTTGGATAAATCATGTAGTGTGAACAAAAATGAACAGGTTACGCAAAGAAAACGGACCAGGTGGAGTGCTGACTGTGGTATTTGTTTTATCTATCTTGGTCTTTTGACAGTCCACCCTCTACCCTTTCGACCAAATGCCGCTCACCAGCATTCTTCAGATGTAGATCGGTTGATGGAATGGCTTTACAACTGATCAGTTGACATGCGAAATTCCAACTTCCAAGGGAGTTTTCACTGGATTCTCTCTTCCAGCTCAACCGGCAATCCTTGTCAAACCTAGTATTGCTTTCATCGTGAAGCGAAGACAGGAGGACGGGTTTACCGTGCTCCACAGCTGCTAGGAATGGCCAGCAACCACTAAGCTTGAAAACAAATCATTTGATCTGCCATCACGCACATGTGGAGACTCCAAGTGAAGGCACGATCTCCGACCTGCAAAAGGTTCGCCACTTCGACACAGCAAGCTCCAGCGGTTTGGTTTGGGCCACTAGCATCCTGAACCCGGCAAAGCACATCGACTGGGAGCTGCTTCAGAAAATCCAACGAAACTAAAGATGTTCTTCGGACTGTCCATGCTCTCCGATCCAAAAGGAATCTCCGAATCACTACTCCCGGATCCACCTGTGATGACATGCACATAAAAGCACGACCCAGAATACCAAGCATTCATTCGCTGCAACCTGGAAGAAATCCGTCGCCAGAAACCAATGACATACATCAAAATACCGTGGCTTTCCTTCTCTCAGGTGGGGTAGGATTGTTCGAACTGTAGGTGTGATTGTGGCATTCGATGTTTGACTGCCTGGATTTCCCGGTTAATCGGTTGCTTGCTTGGGTTGGGCTTCATCATGCTCCATCTTGCAGGGGAGATGCTTGCTGAACCAAGTAGTTTGAGAGCCATGCAGCAAACCAGCATGATACCTTTAAAGGTATCATTAGAGTCTAGCAAGCGGTTGGGTAGCTCCCTGTACCTCCTTGGCTCCCTGTTTAATGGGGAATATGGATACTCCGACTCCGAATCGCTCCAGTGAGCCAACACAACCACAAAAATTCCCCGTACTCCTCGAGACAATAGAAATCTAACACCCACCGGTCAGGGTCGAAACAAATGTCCAGCGCGGCGAGACGAGCAACTGGGCAACAGCTGGTATTACAATGCAACACAGAACTCAGCGTACCATGACGCACCCACCTCCACGAATCAAGCGATGGCCTCCACCCTAGTATAGCGATGACCTCCAACCCTGCTAGCGATGGCCTCACTGAATCAACTGTTGAACACCTTCTTATAATGTTTGAACCACCGCCTGCTCCCCCCGATCGCCCCTGGCTCTGGTCTATTTCTTTTCCAGGAGGTCGTTGCCTGGCAGCCCCCCTATATATATACAGTGTACATATGTATACATATATCTGTGTGTGTGCAAAAATATAACATATTGATCCACACCCCATTGGGCTCCCCAACAATTCCGCGCCACAGAGACCCACGAGCCCATCGCCGATGCTCTGGTCACGGGTCTTGCAAGAGACCTGGTCACGGGTCGGCCAGGCCACACGACGTGTGGCGCACCACGTCCGGTTAAGCGGTGGTATGTCGGGGTCACCTGGCTGGTTTCGCCCCAGCCCACAACCCACCACGATCAGGGACCTCCAGACACACCCCGAAAGAATGTCCAGGTAGGTGTGTGAGATTGTGTGTGTGGAAACCTTGGAATCAAAGATCTGCTGTGAGACCGTGTGTCATTTTGCCACAAAAAGTGCGGCATGATTGTCCAACTGCACCGAACGAAGCTACCCCGAGTCTGACTAACTCGACCTACCTGCTCAAGACACGAAACTTGCATTGCTGAGGCCCTCTTTTACATCTTTTACCGGTACGTACCACATTTCCAACTAAGTGGATAGCAGCTCAGGAACCAAACTGCTTCTTTTCCCAACTCTTCTGCCGTTTCGATCTTTCGACCCCCCACGACTCTCTCCAAATACTGCCCCCGCGCGCTGATTTGTGACGACGCCCGATATGCGCGCCATCTGTTCACTCGCGCCTCCCTGCCATTGAAGCCGTACTTGGCCATCTCCCCCGCATTGCCCCGGTGGTCGTCGAAGAGCCACACCTCGCGAAGGCGAAGGGCAGGCGTTTAGGCGTTGCGTCGCGCTGGCGCGGGTGCCGCGGTCATCGGCAATTTGATCTTCTTTGCCAAAGCCAGACAATGGGTGGTCTTTTTGGAACTGCATGGAACTTACAGGAAAAGCAATTCTGGGAAATTCCAAATGACTTCAGGATGACGGACATCGGTTGATGAGGAGAAATATGGAGAAATCCCAAGGACGAAATCTGGGGTCGTCAACCGGGAGTCGACCAGAGCTTGACCTCGTAGGTCGTGTCCCGGGGGTATCCTGCCTTTGACTCACAGCCATCTCTTTCGGAGGAAACCATAGAAGTTCAGTGGGATGTATCTAGCCAAGCGAGTTCGTTGCGCTCTGCGCATGTATTCTTGCTCCAGCAAAGGTCAAGAATGGATCCTACACACGAGGGGGTCTTTGGACTTGACCCCACGTTATGTTCTGAAAAACACATATATATATATATTTATATTATATACTATATTATATATTATATATATTGTGTATTATATATATATTATATATATATTATATATACTGAGTATTAATGAGTTGCCACAGGAACCTTTGCAGCTGTTGACAAACACTCAGGACTACCAACGCTCTAAAAAAAGGCTTTCCAAGCTGGCCTGAAGGAGCTAGTTGGAGTAACACAGGCTTTCTGGTGTCAAACTCGATGGAGGAGCGAGTTGGTGCCCCGCCCAAAGGCCTTGTCTGCTGGGATGTTTGCTTTCTTGCCCTCAGGGCTGTTGAGCCTCAGGTGACAGGGGTTGTCTAAAACAAGGACTCTTCTTCCCTCAGCATATTGCCTGTTGGAAGCCCTGGGCCTTGTTGGTTTATATTTATCCAATAGTTGAATCCGTTCTCATCTGTGAATCCCGGTCGAAGGATGCAATCTCGCAAGGATCCGCAGATCTGACATGGCCGAGTGTCAAATATAGGAGCCCTTGATAGCTCTTGGAGGGCACTAAACCCATCCCAATGCATTGCATGACATATGTTTGAGTTGTTTGAGTCCTTAAAACCACTGGGACTCCCAACAATGCGGTGGGAGTCCAGTCCTTCCACTCGACTCCACTGGGTGTCGCACAAATTGAGCCTCGCTTCAAACTTTGCTTGGAGTGTTTGGAGTGTACTGAGGTCAGCACCAATCGAAGATCTTCTTCGCCACATCACCCTGCGAACCGCTGGGACGCGCGGTGGGAAGGGGCGCGGGAGTGGACATGAGCACATGCCCGAGACTCTGCACGAGGATTGCTGTGTACAGTTCCAACGGTTGGGGTCTTCAAACCAAAGAAGTGAATGTAGAATGGGCACCCCTGTCCTCATCTATCCCCAGAATGCACCACAATACACCCGAGAGAGGTTGAGAGATGTTGAGAGATTGTCGTAACTCCTGAGCCAAGGAGTGTTTCATCCTTGCATGGGAGTAGTTCACACCAGGAACCTCGACGCCAGTCGACATGGATAGAGCAACGGGCAAGTTCCGCGCCTTCTGTGGGTCTGGGGTGAAGACAATCTTCAGAGAGCTCACATCACCCGCCAAATTGGCATACTGACCTGAACCAACTGGTCGATACAGATGGACGGCTGAGGGATGCGGATGGGGCCTGTAAGTGACCGGGAATCCAACACTGCTGGCCCTATCTTACTAGTCACTAATATGATCTTAGTTCTACCCCCACAAACTAACATGGAAAATGAGAATTGACCGGTGGAAGACCATTTTCCTCTACTACAACCCAGTGGCTTTGGAGTTCCTAGTATATTTACCTCTGCAGGGGAGTGGTGTTTACAAACATTCTGAAGCTATGCTCTCTCCAACTCAATTTGCAGTGGAACATCGCCTAGCAGTCCATGTCGCAGCCCCAAAACCGCGGGCCCCGGTGTGGGCCGGCTGGGGAGGTCCAAGGTGCACCATCGATCTTAGCACGTTCCAGCAAGGGCTAGGCGGCTAGAGGTAAGGACCCATGTTAGACCCGCCAAGTGGAGTAGCTCCACTACCTGGATCACCTCTACCCTCCACAAGGCACCTCGCCCGGACTGCCGGTCGCGCGAAACCCGAGCCGCCCCGGTCGCCAAAGCGAGTGTCCCAGCCAAAGGTGTCGCCCCCGATTTGATCGGGGGAGTTGCCCTTCAAGTGCTCCTCAGGTGCAGACGACGTGACCGGGCGCGGTGCCGCCCTTCGGACCAAACCCGCGTGACGCACGACCCCTTCGGAGACTTGTTCAGAGAAGAAGACTCACTGCCTGGCAATGGAAAAAGGGCGACCAGCAGTGGTTTGACCACCAGGGTCCAGCAGCGCAAACCTGGTGCGATATTAGATGTTAAGAACTAAATCATCTTAAACAATTCTTAAACATAGTAATTTTAACTGTATATATGTATATATTATACTAAATCTATTTATATATGTATACAAACGCGAAACTTGTGGCGTCACCCTTGATCGCACCAAAACGGAAGGAGTCGAGCAGCCAAGCTCGGGAGTCCAGTGGTTTTGGGCAAAGGGGAAAACTCCCGGGAAAAGCGCAGAGGAAAGCATCAGGGTACAGCAGCTGTCTGATCCTGACAGAACTGCAACTTGCTTGCTAGGAGTGAGTGCAGAAAAAAACATGATGTGTGCAATATTGTGCAATTAAATACCTGGCCTGTTTGCAAACCTGGCCTGTTTGCATCGAGAGTTCGTAGATAACCCAGTCGTGAGCACGGTCAGTTCTTAGAAGCAAATCACCTGCAAATGCCCCACCCAGGAAAACCAAACTCTTCGGGTTCGACAGGTGTTCAGGTGGATTGAAACGGGCTACACAGAGTGGTCTGGCTACGCCATAGACTGGACTGGTCCGGTGCAGAAGAAGCTGCAAGGGTAGGGTTCCAAACTGGATCTTTATTGAAAACCAAGGTTTCTAATTCCTCACTTGGGTGGAACCTACCCCCCTCAGGCCCCCCCTTGGACTTCAAGAAACCAAAAAGCATCAAGAAGCCACAAGTCTCAGCTCCAAGAGTCAAAGAGCACCTGCTTCTCATCGTCGCCACTGGCCTCGGGGTTAGTTAGTTCGTTGCTCCTCAGATCCAACTTACCCATCCTTCCCGCGAGGGGGGGCGGTTCCCTGTTTATTACTCAGAGGTGGTCATTTATGGACAGTACACACTGGCACCAGACGCCGTTCGTCCACTCCAGCCCATCACCCTGCCAGATCAGTCGAATCCGCAGTCCAAGGGTCCGTCCTTCCCTTTCCGTTTAGGAACTGGGTCCGGCACGGTGAGATCCTCTTGGAGAAGGAGATCAGCAGGTTTGATCACGATGAAAACAGGGTGTAGTAGTGTAATCTGATTTGGGGGGTACGGGTATCATTTACCCCTCCAGATTCACGTGATTTTTTGTTAATTTGGTTTGGTATCAACTTCTGGGTTTGGATCGGATCATGGAAGACTTTGAACCTCAGCTTCACCCTCTAACAAACGAAGGGGAAAAATGATCGTTGAGACACTCTTTCCCCAGCTCCATTTCGCCGTTGGATTCATACCGATACCCCCAACATCCCCCAACACCATCCTCCACTCCACCGTTTTTTGGGACGAATTCTAAAACCATGACCGGCCTTCAACTAAGTCTTTTTTGGCATCTACAAACTCCCCCAAAAGGAGGTTCCCCAACCATGGCACACCCCGCCGCCCTCTTGGGGCTTCCCCACTCCACCGGCCGAGATCACGCCTCAGCCAGCCGTGTGGAAGAAGGTCGGTTCCGTCGTGGAAAGGTCGCATTCGGATGGACGGGTCGGGCTCCACATGGTGGAAGGACTGTGGGGGACAAGTCACATGTGACAAAAAAAAGGCGATTCAAGCACAACAAGCATGTCTTGAAACCGAACAAAGGGCAACACCCGTTCGGGATCGGACGTCGATGGTCAAGGGTTGGATCATGGACCCGCGTCGCCGGCGGGCCGCGAGGCGAAATGACTGATCAGCAAAAGGAGTTGGATGCACATAAGTAGCTTGGGGAAGAGTGGATTCCGCGTTTTCAATCATTGTATAGGCATAATTACATTGGGGAGCAGTGAAAACCCGTGCACTTCCCAATTGACACTTCAACAGTCAATTCAAGTTGCCCCCCAACTATCAAGGTTTTGGAAGCTTGGAGGGCTATGTAATCCATTACTTGCAAGCAACAGAAGACATTAGATACCGAGCATTATTATCCCCCCAGCCCATCCCCACCTACCCCGCCGTACAGACCATCGTGCACTGATTCTTCTCTTTTATCGTGCATCAACTACACTTTCCTCATGCATCGTAGACAACGATGTCTTCCAGTTACGTAGACATGACGCGAAGATCATCCGTTGAATCATTTGATACCCACCGTTATGAGCCTTCCAATGACGTCGCTGAAGTTGTTGTTAAATCAATGACAATGTCCAAAAAAGGTCACAACACCATGGTCCGTTCTGGGCGGTGGTCCAACTACCAAAGCATGGTACAATCAACGGTCTCCCGTCCGTCTTTGTCTTCATACGCAATTTCAATGGGGGAGCATCCAAATTCTTGAGTCACAGCCAACCACTTGGATGACTAATTTGGATGACTCCTTAGTTTGGATACTATTGAAAACCTGTTGGTTTTCTCCGTGGATATCCCTGGATGGCTTTCTTTAAAGCCTCGTTACTGGATGGCTTTCTCTAAAGCCTCGCCACCACAGGTTCTAATCGAAAGGATCCTTTCTATTTAGTCGAAACTGGTGCCATCGTGACAAAAAAGAAATGCCTTCTAACACCAACCAAAAGTTCCATCCCATCACACATCGCCTCCTTCATCCTTCGCCAAGTCGTGGAAGTGCCCCAGCAACACCCAACAAGCGACTGCTGTTTCGCATCCCACGTCCATCGAACCGAGTGAAAACTAACACGTGTGCCTTCTCGCGTCCCCTTCCCGTCGGGGTCCGTCTTCGCTGAGCTGCCCCTGTAGCAGTTCTGCTTGACACAGAAGGTCTCCTGTAAATTCAGCGCCACTTCCTGGCGTGTGGGGGGCCAACCAGGTCCTTGGGGTGGGATTTGGGCCATAAAAGACATGGCCAGTGGAAAGAACATGACAATACAAACACACTGCCGCTGTGTGGCGCCCCCCACTGCCGCTGTGTGGCACCCCCCACTGCGGCTGTGCAAAAGGTTGACAATACGACCTATTTCTCGGTGGATCTCAGTGTCTGAGCCTCTGCAGATGGATTTGATGGTGCTGAGACTGCCAGGCCCTGTGCCATTGGGGCTAATCTCCACATGTCTATCGTTGTTATCTATCTATATGTCTGTCTGGTCTGGTCTGGTCTGGTCCTGTCCTTCCTGTCTGGTCTGTCGGTCTGTCGGTCCGTCTGACTGTCTGATCTCTGTCTGATCTACTGATCTATGTCTGATCTACTACATCTGATCTACTACATCTGATCTCTATCTGATGTATATATGGATCTGGTGTATCTGCTCTATCTCCTCTCTATCTGATCTATCTATCTACCTGCCTACCCACCTACCTACCTATCTATTTATCCCTGTCTGCCATCAATCAACGCCGGCCTCGTGTCCACACGAGAAAACAAGACATGCCTTGCATGACGGACAGTCGAAGACGACCTCCCTTGTACGCGTAGTCAAGGACGACTTTGCCTGAAAAATGGCGAAAGACGGACAAAGCTGAGCTTAGCTTTCGATGGAAGCACTGACCTACCAAGTGTCCCTATGGACAACTTTCAGGATCACTGGATGATCCATGGATGGATCATACTATGGATCATAGGATCTTTCAAGTGCCGTATTCTCGCTCACCATGGAAACCATGACGTTGGACGACTGGATTTCTTTTCGGTGCGACTCGAAGTTCGACCGTGTGAACCACCGGCCCGAAGCGGAGAGAGGCTTGGGTATATGTCCCAAACATCCTGGGCCCGAACGGTGGATGATGATGATGGTTTGTATAGTTTTTAGCCTTGGTTCCATCATTGTTAGTACTATATATACAGTAATTGTTTACTGGATGATACAGGTAATAGGACACCCCCAACATGTGGATAGAACTCGACAGCTCAGGGTTGTTGGCTCTTTAGCTGCCTCCTTGAGTGAGAAAACGTCAGTGAAGCTTTTTGGAAGTATATATCCCTTGTGACGTACAATGGCATGCCTAAGGCATACCAGTAGCGCCGAACAGAGGACCCTTTTGCGACAATTCCAAGCAGGTGGCTTTCACTATCTTTCGCTCCACATGGACCATGATTCTTCCAAGTGGTGTACCCATTTTGGCCCAGTTGGCAAGACATCGAGACTGTAAAGTCTCCTGCCTTTTCGGGTCTTGAAAAAGCGTGGCAAGTTTGATGTTTGTTTCAGCTTGCATGAAGGTTGAAAAGAACAACTGGCCCTCGACCCCCAAGGTGTGAGATATCTTTTTTAAACATGAAGGTTTATAACCATAAAACAAATAAGCCACAAATCCATCGCACCCGATCTTATTTCTGCTATATACTTAGGTGGGTGTGATGCCATCGGGTATCATCATGAATTCAATAATATTAGAGTCTTCCAGAAAAATGTGTCTGTGTGAAGCATCCAGATACAGAACGCAAAAGAGGTGGCACAAACATGAACAAACACCCCTTAACCTCTAAGGTGCTCTGTTCATAGGCACCCCAAACACGGGGTCCCCTGGTAGACAACTGTTTTCAGTTTTCAGTATGGCCCTCAGCCCCCGTGCTGCACCCTCCCCCACCATGTGCTGCGTGCCCCGGCCGTCGACTTCCGGCGCATACTGCGGCCGTCGAGGTTCGGCCGTCGAGAGTGTGGACCAATCCCTCCACAGACCCTCTGAGGTCTGGTGATTGGCGCCAGGAGGGTCCAATCACCGTACCTCAGAGGGTATGTGGATGTCCTGAAGGGGCCGAACACGGCAGGGAATGATCGCATTTCAGGCCACCCCTGCAGTCAAGTAGCAATCTACAGTCGTGAGTAGCTGGAGGATCCTTTTGCTCCAAGTTTCAGGGTGCTGAACGTGGTAAGTAGCTGGAGCGGTTGTCTTGAAAAAAGACAACAGCTCTCAACTGATTGCTTACTTTGGGCGGCAATCACTGTGGACATTTGATGTTTTTTGGTGACCCACTGGTCCCTCAACTAAGTAACTATAACTTGATATAATTTGATGGATGATATTGGATGGTTCTTACCACGGACGATTCACCACACCACCCGTGGTCTTAAGCATGGTCTTTTCTGGAACCTTCAGGAGGAGGTATGGTACATGGATGCGCATGGTGTCCGATGGTGTCCGTTCCCTTCGGTGCGGCGTGGGCGTGGGGTGTCGGCCTGTCCTTGGGTGACTGGATGAGGTCAGACCACCGCTCTGTCTCGGATGGGACGAAGGTCACATCGGTTTCCCCAAAGGTGGTGGCTCCAAGTCTCCACAAGTTCGAACGAAACAGACAATGCCCTTGAGTGTGCCACACTGTGTGCAGTAATAGGCCAGCGGTGATGTGGGGGCATATATTCCAGTCCCATGGAGTGTCTGGGCAGTAGTATGCAGTATACTATTTATAGTATATAGATGTATATAGACTAATACTAGTCCAGAACCGAAAGAGTGCCACATCGAGCCATATCTCAAAAAGATCCAGGACCCTCACCAACTGCTACATGTTTCTTCGGTCCAAAACCCCAGTCGTAAGGGTCAAAACCCTGGCAAACTGATGATCCTTTCTGAGGTTGGAAGAGAGAATCTTCTAAGAAAGTCGTTCCATGCTCGAAGACACCGAACCCCGGAGATTCCAAGAAGGGTGTCAGTGTCAGTTCTCCACCGGACTGCGACTTTCTCGCCGTTGGGAAGACCCCTCCGAAGCCGAAGAGGCTTACGGCTCCGTCCAGCCACTTCACCCATCCGCATATATGGTTTCCCCTCTCGGACACAGACCGGCCCAGTGAAACAACCCCATATTTGTCCGCAGATTGATCAGCCATTATTGATCAGTTCAACCATGTTCAACCCATCCCACTGTGACCGGGCTCTCCGTGTCTCCGTGTCTGACCGGTGCCGCCTGGGTCTGGGGGCACTGCGGGTCGTTGGGAGCATCGGTGGTGAGCTGCCTGTGTGGGCGCGGGGGCATCGCCTAACCCCCCACAGACCAGGTGCAGTGTGGAGGTTGACCAAAAACATGACTTTAAATAACTATACGCAATGTTCCCCTCCATCTGGAGATCTAAAACCATTGGGTCTTATGAAGCTCATTCGGCCAGATGAAGGGATGGTTGGATATGATATACACGTACAATATGTAAAAACGATGCTGATAGACAACCAGTGCATATGTCCTGGCCAACCCCCCGCATGCACACCTCAAAATACGATATGCCATGATATGCCACCAGTTCAAACACTGCCAATTCGCATTGATCCAACTCTTTCAAGCTCTTTTTACCACCTCCAAGCACATCTCATCTGAATTCGACCACACCGCTTCTTTTTGACCAGCGCTGCTGGAGACCGGACTCTTTCCATGGCCAAGACATTCATCCAACCTGCGCCTCACCAACCTGGCCAAAGACCCTTTCAGAAAGCCGCAGAGGTGTCCGTCGCGGAAAGCACCACCAATCTCGGCCGGGACCATGACCCCCACCTTCGCCCAGGTTGGTCCAGAAGCCCTGGACCCCAAAACCCTCGGGTCCGGCGTTGGACGCGTCGCCCAGGTGGTTCTTCGCTCCGTCGACCTCGTCCAACGCGGGTCCTCCAGGACTTCAATCCTTCGGTGGGCGGCTGCGGGAGAAAGGCCGCCGGCTGCGGTGTGCCGGCTGCCGCGGCCGGCTGCCGTGTGCGGAGTTCAGCAAACGACCTCGGGTGGCTCGCACTCTTCGACCACGGGAGCTCCAGGAATGCACATCTCCTTGGAGCTCCTGGAGTGAAAGGACGAAAACAAAAACCTGGTTGAGCATGGGAGAGGGTCACAAAGGGGAGTGATACGGAGAAAAGGAAGATTGGTTGAAGATGGTTGAAGTACATTGAGATGAATGAGCTTGGACAGAGTCTTGTTTCAAGATGAGTTGATTCCAGCGTGTTTAGCTGTTGGTTTATGGATCATGCGGTGCAAGTGGAATCGGGGGCACAAGGCTCATGAAAATCCCTATTTACTACAAGAGCCTACAAATCTTCCTCATGTAGTATCGACTTCAGGAGTCTGAACCCATTAAGGATCTGTACAAACGGACACGAATAGGCAGTCTCTGTCAAAAATGGATAGAACACAAAATAACCAACATTCGCACAGAACCTATAGACTTGTCTCCTCACTTCTTTGCTCGACTCAGCTTTTTTCCAAAAGTCCGTGGCCAGACCATCTGTAACATCAGTCTGGAGGAGCATTCAATGTGGAATATCCCGCATGCCAGGAAAAGAGCAGAACTCCCAACTTTAATGGATGCGCACTAGCTCTCTGCTTCAGGTCTGTTGCAGGTGTTTCTCAAACAACTCTGCACAGCAGGTCTGTGGCAAATAGATCATACGGGTACACCTGTGATCCAAATGGCCCTCCAGGACTCCCATGGACCCCACCCGGCGACCGTGTCAAAGCCTCACACGCGAGAAGCGCACGGTCCATGTCCAGCCTCTCGGCGACGTACTTCAGCACTTCCCGACAGTCCGTGGTGCCTGGTGGGGGAGAAAAGCACCATCCACAGTGGCTGAACTACGGTCCACAGATCGGTATAGATCGAATCCTGCCACCTCTATAGAAGTTGGCGGACAAGCCTTGGTGGAGGAGAATGTCATTTTTGTGTTTTGGCACCCTGGTGGTCTGTAATCCTGTGGAGGAACTGCAAGGACGTGTTGTTTTCACATGGTTTCATGATACCAAAGAAAACCAGGCAACACTGCTTCCGTCTGCGGTCGCAATCCACATTGGCATGCAGCTATTCGTTCCACTTAGCACCTCAAAGTGAATTTGTTCTCTCTTGATGCAAATGGTTTTCCCAAAAATCAAGTGGAAGGAAGCTTGCGCAACCTGTCACTACTCTGAAACCAAATCTGTTTCTCCTTTCTTAAAGTGGTGCCAAACTCTCTCGAAACAACCTCCCTTTGCAGGGGATCCAGATACCACGATTTCGCTGGTAACCAGGGGTTTCAAAGACTGGAGCCATAGACCGAACAAAACCCTGGTGCCTTTGCCTGGGATCCGCAGGGTCCCTCCCCACGGCACAGCCACACCACAGTGGTGGGTGTGCCTTTTTCTCAGACGACCTTTAGCCCATCATACGCTCACTGGAATCACCGGGATGATGGGGATCTATGTTCACGAGAAAAACCCACATAAACGGTCTAAACGGTCTGATGTGGGATCTACTCGAAGAAAGCGCCACAACAGTTCTCGATGACGTGGAGAAAAACCTGATGACCCAAACACTCCATGGGACTGGAATATCTGCCGCCCCAGAAAGACCCCCGCACCACCGCAGGGATCGGCAAGTATGGCACACATGGAGTGTCTATACCTTCACCCGCAGGGTCCCAGGTGATCTTCATGACCGGCGTTGATCCGGTTTCGCTGCTCACAACTGCACGGCCCAGCGTGGCGTCGCGTAAAGTCGCGCGTGGCCTTCACGTTCCAAGCCAAAGGTCTTCAACATGAAATCCCAGTCCTCGTCCCGAGGTCTGGGCCGGTCAAAGTAATCCCAGTGCCAAACCAAATCCTACCATGCCATCACAAGTCTTATACATTGTTGTTGGTCATTGGGATCGCCAAAAGCAATCCAGAATCCATGTCATTTAACCTTGCCATAGATCAATCCACATCCTTGATCTTCACCGTCAAATCTAAAATGAACTCATCCACCGATCCACCTTTTTAAATGAACCCACCCACCTTTTTCACCACTGAGGAAGGGTCTTCCATGCTAAAGCCCACTGTCCAGATCGGTGGATGAGCACCCGGGTAATTAGTCTTAGAAGCATTTAGAAGCTATAGATTCTTGTGCCACACCGGCCTACACCCAAAGAACGCGACCGTAGTTTTTGAATTGGGGGGCCATTTTGTATTATTTCTGTGGAAAGGGATGATTGAATAAGCAAATCATGTGGATCCTTGTTCACTCACGCATTGGACTGGGAGCTGTCACACCTTGCCATATTCCCAGTAGTCACCGCTGAATCTCAGTTGCCCATCGTGGGACCTGTGAATCGCGGATAGACAGCGGTCCTTCGAACGGCCTGCAAAGTGATAAAGCATCGCAGGATCCTGGGCGACCGGTGATCAACCAGGTGAGGACCGGGATGGATCGCCCAGGTGGAGGGTGTTTCCGATGTGGACCGATGTCCGTGGGTGAAGACATGCTTCCGACTGTGCATACGCGCACACACACAATGCACAGGAATGCATTCCATGGGGTCTAGTCATGGGAGCTGCCAGTGTCGGTATTTCTGAATGTTCTTGTTTTCGTTCAGGGATTGTATAAGAAATTATACGGTTGATCTGGCTTACTCGCAGGGACACCGATAGTGTAGCTCATGACATTCGGAACCTGCTTGAAACCTGCCTGAATGGATTCTGATCGATGTTCCATTGACGATCAAACATCACCTTGGATATCCTTGGTACATGCCCTCTCACCAATGGGATCCTTGGACCTAACTCCACATCTTCAGCTTAGCTGGGAGCTTGAACGGCCTGCTCTCGGATGCTCAGAACGGGGATTTACTGTAATCCGTTCCAAGCCCTTGACCTTCCAAGCCCTTCATCACTTTTGCGGTTTGGCCATCGGGACACGGATAAGCCGCGGGCGCCCACCACATGGTTCACGTCCTGCAGGCGCGGGTCCACGAACCTGGCTGGTGCGGGAGGCGGGGGGGGGGGGCGAATCGATGGCACCAGTTGGTGAAACACCAAGATCAATCTAAGTCTGTGTGTAGAGTGGAAGCCTGATTTCATGTCATCGCAGAGTCGCTCGTTTGACTTCGACTTCATTGTGGAAGCGGCGGTCGTTTCAGCAATCTGCTCTGGCCGATCGGCAGCCGGATGTGTTGGGATGTGTTGGGGCAGGAAAGAGCAAACTGGAAGATGTTCAGATCCTTTCCAGCAAACCACTAAACAGAAAGTGTCATATGAAGTAGACACTCATTCTTACTCTTGTCAGAGTCATAGGTCTTTCGTGTGCGTTTCTATAGAATTCAACTTCATTTACTGATAGCAAATCAAACAAGTGTGCATTGATTGCAAACAAATAAACAGAATACCAGCATGCAGCATGCAGTAGACTAAATCGACACTCTTCAGAAACATGTTTGAAATTCACTTCACTTCTCCCTTGAGTTCAATCTTTGCAGGACATCTGTGCTGTTCTTGACCCCCATCAGAGAGCTATTCCACCTGCTACACGGTCAAGCAACATCAACTGGATGTTACATGTTTTGCTAGAAACACCAACGCTACCTGGACCTCTTTTTCTCCATTCCCATTTCCACTCCTCACCGCGCATGCCGCGCCGCGCATGCCGCGCCGCGGACGCGTGCGGCATTTCGCGTTCGGCTGGCGACCTGATGACCTGGGAGCGTCGATGGCCGAAGGGCCCCGCGAGAGCTTCACTCTGGCGCCACCAGCACATGGCATAGCGCGCCAGCTCGTGGTTCCTGGCAGAGCGGTCTGCGCGGTCGTCCGCGTGGTTCCAGGGCCGGCCGAAGGGGCGGGCGCTGGTATGTTGATAGAAGAACAGGGTGGAAAGTCGTTAAAACATTCTGAGCATGAATGACAAATCATGAGGAAAACATGGAAAAACTCTGACAGCAAGACTATAGTATGTAAGATTAGTCCAATCTATGCCAATCTACGTTCAAAGACCTCTCCTGTAAGTCTGGTGACTTTACTGCAACCCCCTCACCAATCTCATTTCAAGCCATCCCAATTCCACCCCACCCCGGCGCCCCACGTGGAGCACAGACATCTCTCTTGCTAAGCGTCCCTTGCGCGTTGGGAAACAAATATTGGGCGCATTCAGAGTCGTAGCTCTCCTCGGTGACCACCGAGTGACTGCGTGACTGCACCGAGGTCCACGGGTTCCGCGGACGTAAGACGGAAGCTCCAACGCTGCTCCACAGGTTCAGTGGG